CGAGAAGGCTAGGTGTAGATCTTTCTTACCAGAAGATCAGGGGTGTGGCAGAAAGACAGCAGTAAGGAGGAGCCAAGGAGTAACAGTAGAAAGGCTGCAGAAAGAGTCAGGAGCCCAGAGGAGGGGGCAAAAGAGGTGAGGGGGTGGGGGCAGAAAAAGTAGAAATGAAAGCAGACAACAGAACATTGCTGGAGAGCAAGAAAGGAGGTGAAAGGAGATAATTTTAGAGAAGACAATTTTTTGGTCGCTACCCGGATTCGAACCCGGGACCTTTTGAATGAGAGGCCAACACCTTAACCTCTAGGCCACGAGAGCCCCCTCAGACGAAAGTGAACGAGCTTTTTATACCAGCAGTCACAGAGAAGTCTTTCATCTCACTATCAGCATCTGCTGGTAAACTTGGTACCAGCACTCCTTCAGAGGGTCATAGCAATAAAACGTTCAAAACTGAACTGCATTGTATTTGTATCAAACGCCAAAAGTCACTCGGGAAAAGATAGATAGATAGATAGATAGATAGATAGATAGATAGATAGATAGATAGATAGATATTAGATAGATAGATAGATAGATAGATAGATAGATAGATAGATTTTTGTCGGTTTCAGTTGCTCAAATGGCGAAGGTTGTAGATGTTGACAGCGTGAATTAAAAATGCCATGTTTGCGGAATATTTCACTTTTTCAGTTTTTATTTCCTCAAGTGCCTTCTTTGTCAGCTGCAATCGGAACTGCATACTGTACGTGTTGTGGTTTCTCTTCGACATTTGCAGCTTATATGCTGTGCTGAACAGTCAGTTTTAGTTTAAGTTAGAGTTTTACGGCACTTGCAACACAATATGGTCATATAAGTGCCGGAGAATAGATTATGCGTTACAAGAAAGTAACAAACACAAAAAAGAAGGAGGGTAGATCAGATGTTTGATCGGAAAGAAGGAACAAACCACATCAGAGCACGTGTAGAGTCTTTGTGGTCGAAATTCGCATACACAATAGTCAATAGAATGGTCAACTGAAGTTCGTTCAAGTGTGTGTGTGTATGTGTGTGTATGTGTATGTGTGTATGTGTGTGTATGTGTGTATATATGTGTGTGTATGTGTGTGTATGTGTATGTGTGTATGTGTATGTGTTTATATGTGTGTGTGTGTGTGTGTGTGTGTGTATGTGTATGTGTTTATATATGTGTGTGTATGTGTGTGTATGTGTGTGTATGTGTGTGTATGTGTGTGCATGTGTGTGTATGTATGTGTGTGTATGTATGTGTGTGTGTGTGTGTATGTGTGTGTGCGTGTGTGTGTGCGTGCGTGTGTATGTGTATGTACGTGCGTGCGCACGTTTGTGTGTGTGTTTGTGTGTGTTTGTGTTTGTGAAAGTTAAAAAGAAATAATTCTAGAATAAAACAATTTAAAACCAACAAAACAAAACAACCAGAAGGAGAACACAAACAGCCACAGAAAACGTAAATCAGAAATAACAATCATCTGAACCCAAACCAGAAATTTGGAAAGAAGAAATGATCAGCTAAGTTTATTCAGCCCGATTCCAATCAAAATCATTTTCATGGCAGAAAAAACAGTCCATCAATCTTAGCTTATCAGATACAACATGCAATAATATTGGGAGTAAATACAAAACACGTAACATTTTGTTGCTATTTCGGTAGATATTTTCCGTATCAGGGGTTGACATCAGAACCAAAAATGAAATTAAAAAAAAAAAAAAAAAAAAAAGAAAAAAAGAAAATAAATTGCGCCTACTAAAGAAGCAAACCAAGAAAGTTCATCATGATTTGGCTCGCCAGTCCTTCGGCAGTTGGCGCTGCGGGGTAACTACACCACCACCCCACAGACCGCCAGCTCACAAACAGCCAGCTCACAGACCGCCAGCTCACAAACCGCCAGCTCACAGACCGTACTTGCTTCTGAAGCTGAAGGTGAAGGTGAGCACATCGTGGAAGAAGCGTTTGGGCCCGCCCCTGGGGTACTCCCAGACGGCGCGTGACGTGTGACCAGACAGCAGCTCGTAGTCCGACTGTCCCTGGAAGGCAGAGTCCAACAGGAAGGACCAGTCGTCTCTGGGCTCCCTCAGACGGATCAAACCGTCCCCCAGCCCGAAGGATCCGATCTGGAGCTTGCAGGTGGCGCCACTGTACGTGTTGACCTCACTGACGTCACACTTGATGGTCAGTTGGACGGTGGACACAGACAGGAGGTCCCCCGCGGCGAACAGAACGACCTCTTTGTTGATGACGTGTTGGGGCCCGGCCGAGTTTTGCACGGTGGTGTCCGGCGTCCAGATGTCGGTGTCCGACACGTACAGGCCCGAGACGTTGTAGCTGGACTGGTCAAAGGTCAGCTCCTCGTCCGACCACGTCTCGCGCTTGTGGAGGACCAGAGTGACGCGGTTGTGAGCCCTGTCCACACTGGCGATGTCCAGCTTGGTGACACGGACGTCCAGGTCGAGCGGGCCCGAGTCCAGGGGCTGGGGGAAGCAGGGAGTGATCAGGCCACTCATGGAGCGGTACAGCTCACTGTAGCGGCTACACCCCACGCCTGGTGGTAATTGGAACAATAATAATAAAGATAATAATAATAATAATAATAATAATAATATTAATAATAATAATAATACATCTGCAGACGAGAAAATGTCTCAGGTGAAATAGAAGACTTAGATCTACAGGTTCATTTGACTCGTGGCTTCTGTTGTGGCCGATGAGATTAATTCTGGCACAGAAAAGTTGGCCACATTTGGGACATTTAAAGGCTCCATTTCCACTTATGGATATGAGCGCAGCTGGCTGGCATCGAGGTTTTTCCCGGCCGCAAATGCAAATTTGTGGCCGCGAATTTCGCAGCTCTCCGCAACCTACCGCAAATTTTACAAAACAACGTAGTTTTCAGAAACATTTTCCTTCTTTTGAGCCGTTCTCGAACTCAAATTTCACCTCAGGCCCTCGCAACTCTGCCAGATTTGTTTCCCTTCGTTCTGAAATTCATTCGCAGTCCAGATCTCTATTCTAATCCTATGTATGCTACTGTGTGTTTTTCCCCCGCTGACACTGGTAGTGGTAGGCTACACTGTTACAGCGTTAACTGAAGCAACCTTAGATTGACAATCTTGTTTTTTCTGAGAGGAGACGACACCTAAATGAAGAAAACTTGAAAGCATTTGTGTTTCTATATTACAAGAACTTCATTGCATGTGAATCTTGGATGTATTTGATTGTATTTTCATTTTCAGATTTATTTTTCAAATGCATGACTTGCCTTGCCTTGCCTAGTTGTCGTCCCTGACTCTCAGAGGTCGTTGTGCCATGAGTCTCCGACCAGTTCCGTCTTGTGATCTGACCATACATTGCCAAGCTGTTACCCATCCCGGCTTTTACATCATCAGTCTATGACTTCCCCTGTCTGCCTCTAGCTCTCTTCCTTTTCACCCGACCAGTGAGAATTGTCCTTGGCAGTGAGTCATGCCACATGCTGTGCCCGAAGTTTGTTAGTTTGGCTTATTTTAGTTTTGGTACCGTAGTACTTCTCTTTTGACTTTAAGTTTTTGCGTCACAGCTTCATTTGTGATTTCGTCTTTCCTGCCATTTCTGCCTAGTCTGCGAAAGATCTACATCAGACCTCAATCTTGTTTACTAAATTTTTGTACATTGTCCAAGTTTCTGTGGCATAAGACACGATTGGAATAATGTAGCAGTTCACCAGCCTTAGTTTCAGGTCTATTGGGATGTTTCTTTATAAACTATACTATACTATACTAGTGTAAAGATGATGTATACATATAGTTTTCTCATATTCTTTTAATAAAAGAATGTATGAATTTTCAAAATAACCCCCAAAACACCAGTCTTTTTCAGTATGTCTGTTTCATGGGGTAAGCAGCATTTGTCTGTACGGATTCTGAAAGCAAATTTCTTGGCAAATGATGGCATTTTTGTTGGCAAATTTTAGGGTTGCAATTTGCAAATTGCCGCGGAGACAGAGCTTGCAGGCTTCTCTCTTGGCTCAAGCATTTCTTTTTTAAAAATAAATTTGTGAAGCCTCGTTATGTCTTACTGCCCACTGTGACTGCTGCTCTCCAACTGTGTCTGTCAAGAGCTCGGCTCTCCAATATGGATGGGTTGTCGTTGGATTTCTTTAGAATACATGTACAGGGTGATCCAAAAAAGCTGTACAGCTTTTTTTTCTGAATACCTCGAACAAAAATTGTTCTAGAATTCTATAACTTGGAACAGACATAACTGATTCAACAGGAATTTGTTTGACATAAAATCCACGAAGAAGAAATTTGTTTTGAAAACGGAAATAGCTTAAAGAAAGAAGTACCCAAAAACGTAAAGTTCACAAATCTTTAAAAATCTTGTAAAGGAAGTCGTGAAAAGATTGGTTGGCTTTTTTTCTTTATTTTCTCTTTGACATTTAATTCTAATTTTCCACCCCTGTCACATTTAAACAATATTGAATTTCTTTTACATAATTAAAAAAACTAACGATTTCATACTGGAATTCCTAGAAGCAGTGCTCTATATGCCCTCCTTTGGACTCAACATATTTTTAACGTTCGAAATGTTCAATGGCGACCAAACACAAGGACCTGCTAGACCACGAGTGTTCAAATCAACATTCACTGTGCATATTCAGTATGAAGCGGTTTCTAGAGACATTAGGGAGTGGGGTGCCCAATAGACAACATTTTTGTCAAGCGAAGATGAAAATGGTACTGTCGTAGGTTAAGATTTGCCTTGAGAATACAGACTGTCGAGGTGCAGGAAAGTCCTAGCTGCAGATCGTCTACGGACAGACGTCTCATGGGACTCGACTACTGAAATCTGCACATTGGTGACGTTTAAAGGGCTGTGCATGGTGCGTGTTTGACATGAAGTAGTCCTTTCTAAGGAAATTTTTAGTTCTGATTCGCTATAGATCCAAACTGACAGAACCTCTCTACTCATGACGCCAAAGGTATTGGGGGCACTTAAGCATTTCTCCATATCGTGCGCAGAACTTACGAAATGTAAGGGATGGTGAGTTTGTGGAGAGGAAATGTTCAATACAAAAATCTCTCTGCTCTTTACTAAACGTAATCATGATCTCAGCAGGCAAACACCATTTGGGTAAAATAATATCTGCCGACTTCCGTTGACTTGTCAGACTTGTCAGACTTCTGTTGACTTGTCAGACTTCTGTTGACTTGTCAGACTGTTAGACTGTCAGACTGTCAGACTGTTAGACTGTTGACTTGTCAGACTGCTGCAGCTCGCAACATGGCGCGATTGTTGCAACTTTCAATTGTGGTAGGCCTTGTGCAAACTGGTGCGTCATTTTATAAAATGGCGACAGGTTTGGAAATGGGTTTTTTATGCGCCATATAGAGCAAAACCATTCAATGGACTGATAAAAAAATGAATATTAGAAAAATCTCTTTTGGCTCCCAAATGTTGTGTTCAAATCTGAAACGTAAAACTTATGTATGGAGGAAGATATTTACAAAACAAATTGTAGTTTTTTGGGGGGGCACCCTGTAGGCCTACATGTATTTTCCGAGTGTCTTTAAAGCGCACTTTTTGGTGCGCAAGAACAATACTTTCCCGAGGACAGCTCAGGACAGAACACCGTCTTTGGGATTCTGAAATATCGGTCATTCTTACGTCATGGCTTGCCCAGCGGAGCTGAGTCCTTTTTGAACTAAGAAAACAACAACTGTCGGCAGTTATCCTTTTGGGGTATTTGCTATTTCATCCTGACATTCGATGCTAAGAATTGTCCTGGGGGGACATTCCGTGTGGAAAAGATTCAACTTCTCGGCACGTCTTTGGGGCACCGTCCAGACCTCGGCACAGTACAGTAGGGTTGAGAGGACCGCGTCATTTCTGGGTGCATGCTGGTGTACTGTGCATGTTGTTGGGTTTTTGTGTGTGTACAAGTATAGTTGTGGTACCTCATCGTCAGCCAAATTCTCCTTCAAGTATCGAGGAACAGAATTCTAAAACCAAAACCAAAAACTAAACCAAAAGCAAAAAGCAAACAAAACCAGAAACCCCCATCCTAAAAACCCAACAACCACCCCCTCCCCCCAACAACCA